TTTTTTTTTTTTTTACTAGTGGTCCATGCTTTATTTTTGGACCACCCATGTTTCTTCACACACAAGATTCCCAAATATCCAACACTAAGGGTAAGGGTAGAAGACTCTTGACATGCAGCATTCAGATCAATTTTGGCTCAAGAGTTTTCTCCATTAAAGCCCAGGCAGAATTACTCTGCTCTGAGAATGTGTTGGATTATTAGCTTAAAAGTTTAGGCTTTGTCTGGGATCTTTTATACATAATATATTCACCATTAGTAGAAAGAATTTTACTTTGAAGAATGTGACAGTCCCATTTTGTTTGCTTAAAAACTCACAATTTTAAAATATGGAATTTTAAATTATGGTAAGTACATTGATGTGTTTGTTACAGGCTCCCTGGACAAACAAATACAGTATTATCATGACAGTTATTTTTTCCAGAAAACTTTCGGTAGAGTTGCTGGTGAGTTATATATGGATCAGAATTCAATGGAGTTGACTTGCATTTAACATCACTTGCAGTTAGGGACTGACTACAGGTAACCTGAGTTGTGAGTTAACAAGCATCCTTTTTGTATTTCTTTTAGTCTCCCCGAGTGAAAGAATCAATATCAAATTCTGAGGTAAGAAATTGTGATTTTTGAATTCTTGTTCAAGTATATGTACTTTTGTTTTGGTTTCAATTTTAAGTACTTTTTTTGCGTATGTGTGTGCTTAAATGGGAATGCAACTTTATACCAATCAGATTTTAAAAGTTGGCTTAAGAGCTCAGAATGTTCTTCCTTGTATCCTTGATTTTGTGAAAAATTTTTTTTTTTTTATCTTGGGCTGCTTGAAGTGAAAAGTTATTTGTTTGTTTGTTTATTTACAGACAGGGCCTCACTCTGTCTCCCAGGCTGGAGTGACAGACCTCCCAGGGCTCAAGTGATCCTCTCGCCTCAGCCTCCTGGGTAGCCGGAACCACAGGCACACACCACCATGCCTGACTAGTTTTTGTATTTTTTGTAGAGATGGGATCTCACCATGTTGCCCAGGCTGGTCTCAAGCTTCTGGGCTCAGGCAGTCCCCTGCCTTGGCCTTCCAAAGTGCTGGAATATGCCACCGTGCCCTGCCGAAAAGAAGTGTTTTTGCATTAATTTGTTTGGGAGTTTGTCATATGCCACCTGTCCTTTTTGAACTTTTTCAACCTCTTCTCTTATGAAATAAATTCTATTTTCTGTAGTTACTGCATCAATGTGATAGGAAATCCTGTTAAACAAATTCTTGTTGGGCTGATTTTTCTTATTCTCATTACCAGAGGAAAACAATCATTTCTATGATCTGTTCTGTCATATAGTCTTACTTCTGGCAGCATCTTCATTCTGAGCTCAGTATTTGGTTTAAACACATCTCTTGCTCTTAAACCAATTCTATTCTTGTCTCTTTGCTAAAAAGTAACCTTTTTTTCATTTCTTTTGTATAGAAAGTACATTTGTATATATGGCTGTGTACCTTATTTGTTTACATAGAACTATATTATTTAAGAGTAAACACAAATACTCTTCCTTCACATATTAACAGACTGATATCAGTCAACTTATATTAGAACTGCCGTTTACTTATATGTGTGGCTCCTCTTCTTGGTAAGGGAATTGCCTTTTCCTGACTCTTGAAGTTACATATGGCCATGTCAGTTACTCTGGCCAGTGACATGTTGACAGAAGTGAGAACCGCTCATGATTCTCTGTGCCTCCTTACTCCTGCTACCACGACCTGCATCCCTGAGTGAGGATGATTATGGAGCTTATTAGCCCCTGCTGGCGAGAGATAGACTTGAAATGTGTC